TTACATTCCACCCTCCATCCCTTCCCTTTCAACTTTGTCCTTAAATAAATGTTGCTCTTTTGATTTTGAATGATTGTTCCATGCTGAGCATACCTTACTAGTGCTGTTGCCCCCTCTATGTACCTATCTACCGCTTGGCTGAAAATTGCCTCATATGAAAGATGACTTTTGCTCCAGACTTGAAGGGTGTGGTCAAGGACCATAGCCTTGGGTTCCTCCAATATCTTCCTGACCAATAAAACTAGTATTCTTTTAGAATTTAATGTTTTGTTCTACATTGTCTGCCTCTCTTATCTGAGACCTTCTGCTGTGATCCCTTTCAGAACAGTTAATAATGTAATGGGGCACCATCTAGTTCTTCTGGTCTCAGAGTCATGGTGAGTTATGTTTACCTGATCCATTGGTCCACTGGATAAGTTTAATCCAAGCATCTTCTAATTTTATCACTCTTCCTTCTTTTGCTCCTGGAGAGCCCAATAGTTGTACCGTAGATGGCCGTCAGGAGATTTTAAGATCCTGATCAAAGTAGAATGTAGAACCTTGCCTTTGTGGACTGTTATGCTAGTTGGCCGTGGTGTACCTGAGACTGTTGTTATATTTGGCACATAACAACAACATAGCTCTGGTAGCCTAGTGGTTACGAATCTGGCTGCTAACCTCAAGGTCGGCAGTTCGAAACTACCAGCTGTTCTGCGGGAGAAAGATGAGGCTTTCTGCTCCTGTAAAGATTTGCAGCCTCGGAAACCCTGTGCTGCAGGGTCACTAAGTTGGAACCAACTCCATGGTACTTAACAACAACAATATATATATATATACACACACACACACACATATATGTTGTTGTTGTGTGCTGTGGAGTCGGTTCCGACTCATAACGACCCTGTACAGGGTTTCCGAGACTGTAAATCTTTACAGGAGCAGACGCCTCATCTTTCTCCCGTGGAGCAACAGGTAGTTTCGAACTGCTGACCGTAAGGTTCACAGCCTGATTCGTAACCACTATACTACCAGAGTGCGCACGCTTTCTGTGTCTCTGTCTCTCTCCCTCCTCCCCTCTTTCTATATACATATACACACACACATACCAACTAGAGCATTTGCTGGGTCATTCTGTACTTTTATTTCCAGCTTCCTCAAGAAGCACCATACTATTTTGCACAGTGGTTGCCTCATTTTACAGTCCTGCCAGCAATGTCTCTCCACACCCTTACCAGCTTTTGTTGGTTTTTGTTTTTTTAATATTGCTGTTAATGTTGGCATTAGATGATACCTCGTTGTTGTTTTTATTTATATCTTTCTACTGGTTAATGATCTTGAACATTTCTTCATACATCTATTGGCTGCCTAAATGTCTTCTTTAGTTAAAGTATTTGCTCATGTCCTCTGCCCATTTTTACATTTGGTTGACTTTTCCTTGTAGAGGTATTGTAGTTTTCTATAAATTTTAAAGATTGGTCCCTTTGCTAATGTGTCATTGCAAAATAAAATTTTCCCAATCTTTGGGCTCTCTTTTCATTCTTGTGATGAAATCTTTTGATGTACATGTCTAATTTTTAGGAGGCCCCAGTCATCCTAAATGTCTAATACTGTTGTGTGGTTTGGTGTATGTTTAACACAGTATATTTATGCCATGTATTAGAGCCCCTTAGTTTGTCCCTGTTTTGTTTTGTTTTTTCCATTAATGGTTTTTATAGTTCTAGGTTTTACATTTCAGTCTTTAATCCACCCTGAGTTTGTTTTTTTATATAGTGTGAGATAAAGCTATTGTTTCATTTTTGTGCAGATGAATTTCCAGTTGTACCAGCACCATTTGTTGAAGAGACTATCTCTTCTCCATTTAACATGCTTTGGTCCTGTCAAAGACCAACTGACTATATATGATTGGATTTACTTCTGGGTTCTCAGTTCTGGTTCACTGATCTGTTTCTTTCTGTGTACCTGTAGCAACTGTTTTGACCACTGAGTTTATAGTGTAGATTTTGAGATCAGGAAAGTGAGAGACCTCCGACTTTATTCTTCTTAAGTAATATTTTGTTTATCCAGGGTCTCTTTCCTTTACAGATAAAGGTAGTGATCAGTTTTTCCATCTCTTTAAAGAATGACACTGAAATCTAGATTGAGATTGCATTATTTCTATTGCTCTGGGTAGTGTTGACATTTTCACAATGTTAAGTCTTTCTGTCATAGAACATGGAATATTTTTCCATTTTTATCATTCTCTTCTGGTTTCTTGTAGTAATGTTTTTTAGTTTTCTGTGCATAGATCTTTTGTTTCTGTAGTTATATTTATTCCTAAGTGTTTCATCTTCTGGTGGATACTGCAAATATAAAAGTATCAGATACTATTGCCATAATAAACAGACAGACCTATGTACCAGACCATTCTGAAAGTTCAGAACCATCCAACATAGATAAAGGTAGCATCTTAAATCTGGGTCATAAACTATACAATAAATGGTGGAGTGGCAACTGATTAACCATTTGGAGGAGGGATAGCTTGATTGCTAGTCACATCTCAAAACCAAGATGCAGTTGAGATGAATTTGAGAATACTGTTAAAAATAAAGAGTCCTGGTATAGTGCTTGTACAGTCAGCACTGGACTGCTAAACACAAGGTTGGTGGTTTAAATCCACCAGCCACACCTCAAAAATCCTATACAGGGTCACCATGAGTCAGAACCAACTCGAAGGCACTTAACGACAACAACATTTAAAATAAATAAAACCCTAAAACTATTAGAAGAAATTATGGGTAATCGTATAATCTTGTAGGAAAGAGCTACCTAGAAAAGATAAACAAAGGCAAATCACATGAAATAATCAAAGAAATACAAACTGTTTTGTGATACCAGTCAGATTAGCATAGATTAAAAATGATCATTTCAGTGGTGGTGGTGGTGGTTATGTGCCATGGAGTTGGAACCGACTCATAATCTTTATGGGAGCAGAAAGCCTCATCTTTCTCCCACAGAACAACTGGTAGGTAGTGAGGGAAAAAAGAAATTGGGCACTATCAGATATTGCTGGGCTGCTAGGGAATGTTAATTGTCACAACCATTCTTATAGACAATTTGTAGCCATTATAAAAAATCTTAAATTTATACCTTTTCACTTAGTTTGCAGTTCTTCAGTATTGATCTTTTGAAAGCAGTTGGGAAAGGGTCAAAAGATAATGAAGATCAATTGCACTGCAATGATAGTAATAATATTAGGATAGCTTATATCCTGCTGTAAAAAAACTTATTAAAAAGGTTTTGAAACGGTTGAATACTATATGCTTTTGAAAAATAAAGACATATAGATATATATGTTGATTAACTTTTTTTACAGTATGTTCAGTGGAAGAAAATAAAACAGATTTTGGGGAGTAGAGAAATAAAATTTCATTTAATTTAGTGGGCTTTTATTGTTTGTTTTAAAAATGTGTATTTTAACATGGGGAAAAGCCTGGAAGTATATGAGGGTAAGTCAGAAACTGTTGCTATAAAATCATAGCCGTATTCATCAAAATATCAAAATACAAAGCCATTGTTTCTCAGCATATCCTCCATCTAGGTCTATACACTTCTAGAAGCAGTGTCTCCTCTTCATCTTTCCCTGAAGCATTCTGTATTCTTTGAGTTACACCATGTTAAAACACCAGTTTTGGCATCCTTGAGAGACCCAGAACATGTGCCTTTGAGTTTGGTGAGCAAAAAGAATTTTGAAGGGAGATGATCAAGACTGTAGGGTGGATGGTTAATGGTTTCCCAATGAAATTCTTATAGATTAGTCCTTACTACCCTCAATGAATGGAGCCCTGGTGTGCCACTGTGCACTGGACTGCAAAGTCAGTTTGAACCATAAGGTCAGCGGTTCAAGCTCACCAGCTGCTCCTCGGAAACTCTATATACGGTCGCTGTGAGTCGGAACCAACTCAATGGCACATAACAACAGACCTTAATGAATGATCAGGTATATTACTGTGGTGGGGCAAGTTTCCTCAGTACAGCTTTCCTGGTCTTTTTCTGACCAATGCAGTTTTCAATTTTAAAACTTCATCCACCATAATCATCTTAAGTTCTTTGAGAAAATCTGTGAGGCCCCTTTGGGGACCCCAAAAAACAGCCACCATAACCTCTAAGCAGAGCTCTCTGCCTTGAATTTAACTGGCCCTGCGAATTCCTTTGGAAGCTACTGTTTTAATTGGACCTTTTTTTTTTTTTTTTTTTTATTGGACCAGTAGAATAAGCACTGGACCGCAAAGGTGGTCATTGGAAACCGAATACAGGGTTGCTGTGAGTTGGAACCGACTCAAGGGCATTTAACTACTACTAGCAAAACTAAGACAAGTGAATTACTGGGAGAACTTGTCTGCAGGCATGTACTGATCAAGATACATGCTTGAAGCTGTTGTCTTTGAAGAAAACCCATGCATATATGAACTGTAAACTGTTCATTGTAGTTACCTTTGGTTATGATATCTCAGATGATTCAGAATTCATTTCTTGTTTCAAATGATTGATACTTACTGTGTTTTCCTTTATTCACCAAACATTTATTGAGCTATTGTAAAGGCGAATTGTGTGTGTGTGTGTTTAATGATAATTTATTAGTTGTACAATTAAAATTGATATTTATATTATAGGAAGAAAATCAGAATTTAGGAATGTCTTCATTAAATTTTTAATGACTTGGTTATTAAAGTGTTGTGTGCAGTTACTTTAAAAATGCATTCATCTTCTGCTTATTTTTTTCTTCTCATAAAAGTATAAAATATAATGAGGCACTAGTGTAAATGTGCTGAAGCATCCAGTCTGAATGATCCTAATAACAGAAATATTCCCGCCTTAATAAAGCTATCATCTCTAAAGGTAGCTTGTCTTTATGTGAGAGGATAGGTGTTAGTTGAATGCTCTATATACTTTGTATTTGAATCAGAAACAAGCTGCCCGTGTTCAGTTGTGAAAGGACTAGCTTTTTAAGGATTTCACCATAATGCTTTTCTTTTGAATTTCAGGCAACTGCAAGAGCAGCAACGACAAAAGGATCTGGAGCGAGAAAGACTGGAGAGAGAGAGAATGGAGAGGGAGAGGTTGGAAAGAGAGAGGTTAGAAAGAGAAAGGCTGGAGAGGGAGCGACTAGAGCAAGAGCAGCTGGAGAGAGAGAGGCAAGAACGCCTGGAATGGGAGAGGCAAGAACGAGAGAGACTTGAACGGGAAAGACAAGAAAGAGAGCCACAAGAACAGTTAGAAAGGGAACAGTTGGAATGGGAGAGAGAGCGAAGAATATCAAATGCTGGTAAGAAATTTACACACTTATTTTATGTTCTTGATATATCTGAACTTGGAAGATGTTTTATGTAGTCTTTTTAGATGCTTGAGATCCAGTGATACAGTTTGAAATTATGAAAAATAAGCAGCAATTATTATTTTAGCCTTTTCTTTTTATTTTCCTCTATTTTTATTACTTGGAGATACAGAGATGGTTCTTGGGAATTTTTGTTCTGGCATTATAATTCTTCTAACTCCCTGTATAAAGTGTCTATAAAGTGTAAGTGTGTTTTTATGGGTAATTTTTTTAAAAACTGTAACAAAGTTGGAATATATACCTCTCATGAAATAACTTAACTCTTCTCAAATACCGTAATCTTATATTGCCACTCCACAAGAAATTTGCTTGATAATATTCTGAAGCTTATGAAGTAGAAATTAAAACATTGGGTGATAAATGTCTTTTCTAAAGCTGAAGAGTTACTTAAATGTGAATATTTTCAATGTGAAGATTACTATATCTAATGGAATTTATTCAAAGACTTAAGAGTTATGGTGTAGCTAAAAGTTCTGGGTATTTTAGCGGTCTTTAAAGTGATCATTTATTATACGATTTAAGGATTATTTTTTATTCCATGCAGCCTTTATCAAAAGTCTCAATATATGTAGATTAAAAATTAGTCTTTTTGTTGTTGTAGTGCATTCATTTGTTTTTAACTGCTTAGCTGTTTCCTGGGATTATGGCCTACAAAGTAAAACTTGTTTTGTAAATAAACTTTGAATAAGAATTCTTAGCTTTTTATAATAAATGTTAGTTTTGTTATTTGTTGCTTTGCAAAAAAACATCCTATATTTAATTTGTAGTTCTAGTCATGTAATTTGAGTGTCCTTTTAGTGGACTAAGTAATGAAAATTAAGTTCTATAAACCATTTTCTCATATAATATAATCAATTTAATTAATCCATTTACTAAATAAATAAGATCACTTCTGTATCTCAGAATGAATTTAGACATTGGAAGATGCTCAGATAAAAATAATTTTGCACTTGTGCTTATTCTCTGGTACTAACTGTAGTCTGCATTTATACATTTTGTCTGAATGCTGGTTTTGTGGCTTCACTAGCTCCCTTTTTCTCTCTCCTTTTTTATCCTGTCTTTTGCTGCTGCTTTCCACCTTCTGTCCAGCTCCATCTTCAGACAGCTCCCTGTATAATGCTCCACTTCCTGAGTATTCCAGTTGCCAGCCTCCTTCAGCACCTCCTCCATCATACGCTAAAGTCATCTCTGCTCCAGTGTCAGATGCCACTCCTGAGTACGCTGTAGTGACCGCTTTGCCACCTACTTCCACACCCCCTACACCACCACTTCGACACTCAGCGACACGTTTTGCAACATCTTTAGGTTCAGCCTTCCACCCTGTTCTTCCCCATTATGCTACAGTTCCTCGTCCTCTGAACAAAAATTCTAGGCCTTCTTCTCCTGTGAACACACCCTCTTCTCAACCTCCAACTGCGAAGCCCTGTGCCTGGTCTGCTTCCAATTTTTCACCCCTCCCTCCATCTCCTCCAGTAATGATTAGCAGTCCCCCAGGCAAAGCTACTGGTCCAAGGCCTGTCCTACCTGTTTGTGTTTCTTCTCCTGTGCCCCAAATGCCTCTATCACCAACAGCATCCAATGGCCTGCTTGACTCTATAACATATCCAGTGTCTCCACCGCCTACCTCAGGGCCAGCAGTGCCGCCACCGCCGCCGCCGCCGCCGCCACCACCACCGCCGCCTCCACTGCCTTCCCTTGCATCACTCTCACACTGTGGATCTCAAGCGTCTCCTCCTCCAAGCACCCCTATTGCCTCAACTCCCTCATCCAAGCCTAGTGTTCTCCCTTCTCCCTCTGCAGCTGCCCCTGCCTCTGTTGAGACTCCTCTAAACTCTGTGCTGGGAGACTCCTCTGCTTCTGAGCCAGGCTTGCAGGCAGCCTCTCAGCCGGCCGAGACTCCAGCCCAACAGGGTAAGGTTTTCGTTATTGTTACTAACAACTAAAACCAAAACCAAACCCAAACCCATTGTCGTGGAGTCACTTCCAACTCATAGCAACCAAATGCAGGGGTTTGAGACTGTAGGTCTCTGTGGGAGAAGACAGTCTCATACTTCTGAGGAGTGACTGGTGGGTTTGAATAGCAGTCCAACTCCCTAACCCACAGTGTCACCAAGGCACCTTGCTTCTAATAGCTAGTCATTTGAAAATATAATATTTATCAACAGCTTTAATGGTCTAAAAGAATGGATAAGACGGTTTTGATAATTGAACATCTTTGTTCTGTAGTGCCACATATATCTATGTTGTGGTTTTTTTTTGTTTGTTTTTTTTTTTTTTATTAAAAAAAAAAATTGAAGTAGAAAATAATTTTTTCCCCTGTTGGTTTAATTGCAGTTGGAGGATCAGCATGAAAAATTGCCATATCAAACTAGATTTTGATGTCTTCTTAAAGTTGTTTTGCAGTCCATAATATATTTAATTTCCACTAGCAATACTTGAGTAGTTGAACCTACTGTATAATAAATGTGTGATCTAACTTGTTTTCCTTTAATTCCTGGGTAACATATATATAATGCCCAATTGTTGTTGTTAGGTGCCATCGAGTCGGTACTGACTCATAGTGACCTTATTCGCAGAACGAAACACTGCCTGATCCTGGGCCAACCTCACTACTGTATAGATCATCTTATGGTCTCATCTGGAGTAATTGATATACAGCTCCATTCTTTTTTTTTTTCTGTTCTATTTTGGCTTACCCCATATTGAATTTTTCATATTGGACCACAGGGAGGGTACCACCCTAAGTCCTGTGTAAGCAGCTTGACTTTCTAGGAGTTTTAAAGTAGTTGGTAGGCTTGGTATGTTCCACAAAGGGTTCCACAGTGAAAAGTAGTAAGAAATAGTGTACTAAAGAGATAGTTGAGAGAGGATGTTGTTGTTGTTGTGTGCTGTGGAGTCGGTTCTGACTCATAGCGATCCTATACAGGGTTTCCAAGGCTATAAATCTTTACGGGAGCAGAAAGCCTCATCTTTCTTCTACGGAACAGCTTGTAGTTTCGAACTGCTGACCCTGAGGTTCCCAGCCTGATTCAGAATTAAGCTACCAGAGCTCCTTTGAAAGAGGATAGCATCCTCCTAAATTACCATTTCTCCATCCCCCACCCCATACACACCTTTCTTTCAGGGTAACAGTGAAGGGGGAGTATAGTAGTGTAAGTATGGACTATTTCTAAGTAGAGAAGGACCTCATTTTGTAAGTAAATAGTTTACTTGTTTTTGAAAAGTAGGGTTTAGGGAGGGTTACAGGAAGGATTCCAACAACAAATTTGCATTAACAAGCAAACAGTGTGATAGCTTAGATTTCAACATGTCTCTTTAAAAAAACAAAACAACACTGAGTTCCTAGGATAAAATAGTAAAGTTTGTTATTGCTGTGTATTTATTTTTTGTTATTCTTATAATGAATTTGTTTAAAAGTTGAGTCAAGACTCCAGTATGTGGCAGTTAGTGTCATGAATATTGTAAGAGACACAGTCAACCTGGCAGGGTCAGAAAAATCTACCTGCCTTGTCCTTAGACTCTTAGACTCCTTGGAGATTGTTGTTGTTGTTATGTGCCGTGGAGTCGGTTCCGACTCATAGCGACCCTGTACAGGGTTTCCGAGGCTGTAAATCTTTACGGGAGCAGAAAGCCTCATCTTTCTCCCGCAGAACAGCTGGTAGTTTCGAACTGCTGACCTTGTGGTTCGCAGCCCGATTCGTAACCACTACGCTACCAGACCCCATTATTCTGTAGTCTTCTTTCAGCAAGTGATGTCTTCAACTTGTACAACTGCTCAAAGTTAGTTTTAAAAATTTGAAATCCAACATGCAAATAGCATTTTATTTGTCCTAAAATGCCCCTTTGAAGCCAAAAGGAAGGGAGAACTCACTAGTTCCGGTTTTCTGACATTAAATATGATTTTATAAGATTGAAACATTTCTCTTAGTATCTCATCTTCTAAACTTAAAAAAAAAAAAAAAAGGTGTATCTGAGTTGTTTCTAAATTTAACTTTATGTCTGTAGATCCCTTGCCTTAATATATAGTTTTTAAACCCTGGCTGCACGTTACATTTAAATGAGAAATATCTTTAAAATACTTAAGCCTGGGCCTATCCCGTTTAGTGTTCTAAATCTAGCCACTTTGGCTATCTGTAAGAAACTAAATATATGTCTTTACGATTGTAGAATTTATTGTCTCATAACTTAAAGTTTATATGAATTCTTGGTTCTGTTGTTTCAAATAGTACTTACTGACATCATATGCACTAGTTTGATTTTTTTCAGAGATGTTTACCTCCCTTCCCAATTTTATAATCATTTACTTTATTTACCAAATCTCCATGAACAAAAAATCTTAGATGATTTGTTGCATACTTGTATTAAGTAAAACCCTAACATTGAAGTAGCTGTAGAGGATAAGTTTGGCTTCACCTTTGAGTACCTTTTAAAATATTGATCTAGACTTTAAGCATTATAATAAAATAGTATTTATTAATATTTAGTATTTGACTCAGCTTCATTTATGATGACATTCTTATATCCCTTTCTACATAAAATAATACCACTTAGCTCTATTGTTGATGGTCTCATTTAACCTTTTTTCTCTCAGGCATTGTCTTGGGACCACCTGCCCCTCCACCCCCTCCACCACTCCCACCAGGTCCTGTTCAGGTTTCAGCAATGCTCCCTCCTCCCCCAGGGCCCCCTCCACCTCCTCCACTACCATCCTCTGGGCCGCCACCCCCACCCCCTCCACCCCCTTTTCCTAATCAAATACCCCCTCCACCTCCACCACCTCCTGCCCCTCCTCTCCCTGCTTCCGGATTTTTTGTGGGATCCATGTCAGAAGACAATCGCCCTTTAACTGGACTTGCAGCTGCTATTGCTGGAGCAAAACTTAGGAAAGTGTCACGGGTAAATACATTTCTAAATTCCTGCACTGCTAATGTATGTCTTATTCTTTCTAAACCTTTAAAATCATAGGTTTATTAGACTCTTTTTTTTTTTTTTTTTTTATGAATCCTGTTACTAACTTTACTGATATTTTAAAAAATTAAAATAACTATATTTGCTCTGTTTTTCTTTGTATGTTTCTTTCTACAGAGACATGCACACACACTTTTACCCTAAATTATATTTAAGTAAGTTAGAGACATCATGGCCTTGCTCCCCTAAATATTTTTACAGTGTAATCATCAAAACCAAAAATTTTAGCACTGATACAATACTGTAATCTATAGACCTCATGCAAATTTCACCAGTATATGTCTTTTATGGTGTTTTCCCCTAGTCTAAGGTTACCCATTACATTCAGTTGTCACATTTCTTTAATGTATTCCTCAATCATTATTTTATGATACTTACATCTTTGAAAACTGTAAGACAATTATTTTCTAGATCATCTGTCAGTTTGGGTTTATCTGATGTTTCATGAAGACTAGATTTAAGTTACGTTTGGAGAGAGGGACAAAAATACCACTTAACGAGTACATAATTCCATCCCATTATGTTGCTCTTGATAGCACTCAGATTGATAATATAAAATTTAATGCTGTACACACTCATTTTGTTCTTAAACAGGCTACAACAATATATATATTTATCAACAGCAATGCTGATGTGTCTTTCTGTTTTAAATGTAGAATGTTAGTATGCATACAGTTGTCTTGCATGGAAGCTTATTAAGTATCTGTATTCTCATTAAGATGGAGGATGCTTCTTTCTCAAGTGGAGGGAATACTATTGGTGTGAATTCTGCCTCATCTAAAACAGAAGCAGGTCGTGGAAATGGACCCCTTCCTCTAGGGGGGAGTGGTTTAATGGAAGAAATGAGTGCCCTGCTGGCCAGGAGGTAAGTGAAAAATTTCTTTGTAGAGGACATGTTTAGGATTGAGAGGGAGTTTCTTTGTTTTGTTTTGTTTTGTTTTTTTGTTTTATTTCAAACATAATTTAACTAGATGTATACAATAAGCATGGATTCCTGGTGTGGCGCTGTGGGCTAATGCGTCAGACTGCAAAGTCGTTTGAACTACAAGATCGGTGGTTCAAGCTCACAAGCTGCTCCTTGGAAACTCTATATAGGGTCTCTATGGGTCAGAATCGACTCGACAGCTCTTAACAACAACAACAAATACAATAAGCACTGTACTGCAAACCACAAGGTCTGTGGCTTGAGCCCACCAGCCACTCTGTGGAAGAAAGATGAAACTTTCTGCTCCCATGAAGATTTTAAGCCTCAGAAACCCTTTACAGGGTCGCTATGAGTCAGAATTGAACCAACAGCACTTAACCTCAAGTTCTTCCCTCTTGGAGAAAAGAGTAGTTAAATATTAAGAATTAGATGGGTTTTTTTTTCTTCTTCTTTTTCTTAAATTTTATTTGCCTTGTTTCTAGGAGAAGAATTGCTGAAAAGGGATCAACAATAGAAACAGAACAAAAAGAGGACAAAAATGTAAGTTAAAAAGATAAAGTGCCACACTTTAAAATGTAAAATTGAAGCACAGCTTATTCAGGAAGTTGTGTGACAGATTAGTTTAAATGCAGCTAATGTAAATGTATAGTTGCTATTTTTTAATTCTTCATATATTAGAAATGATTTGTTTTTAGTGGTATGTACAAACTTTTAATGATATTCCTAATAGAATGAGTTGAATGTGTGAAGTTGTAGAGGCAGCATTGAACTTCAGATTTTAGATCTGAACTCTCCCTAAATCTGACATGAAATGAGGGTATGTCGTTTTCCTCATTTTTTTCTTCTTTTAGGATCTCAGATTTTTAAAATTTTTTTATTTTTTATTTTTTTTTTAGGATCCCAGATTTTTGTACATTTAAAATGAGGAAATAAGATAAAATCAACTGTTTTTGATTGCTCCTTCTAGGAGTCCTATGTTTAATAGATGCACCTCATGAGAGTATAACTTCCATGCCCTCAGGTGAACTGGGGAAATTTTTTTTTTTGTCTTTCCTAGGTTTGGTGTCTAACAAATACAGTAATTGTTTTCCCTATTACATTTGCCCCTACTGATAGCGTTCTTCAAACATATCCCTTTATACTGGCCTCATGGCATTGACTTAATGAGAGCATATGAAGAAAGGAACTGGAGGAAGTACAGAGTGAAAGAAGAAAAGTGGAATAAAAGGGGGGGAATGTAAAGTAACACAAAGAGAATATTGGAAATGGGAATATAAAGCATGAACTGTTTATATCTATTTATGTAGGAACTGGTTTCTCTTAGATATAATATTAATATTTATTTATGTGTATTTAGGAAGATTCAGAGCCTGCAACTTCTAAGGCCTCTACAAGTACACCTGGTAAGTTAAGAGAAATATTTTTATATTTGCAAGCATTCATTAAATATTAATGCCCCTCCCATTAAAATGTCCCTGCTTCCCCATGTTCAGATGAAGTCATTGCTATTTTAGTTAGAAAGTTCTCCATTTTTACTGTAGAAAATGTTGCCTTATTTTTCTGCTCTTTGCAACCCCAGAAGCAACTGTTACCTGTTTCCTAGTATTGTGTCATCTATTGAAATCCAGTTTTTATTTCTGCTGACATTTTCAAATTATAATTTTTACACATTCTGTTTTAAAATATCATTATTGATTTGAGGTTATTCTCTGAAATATTAAATAATGCACTGTTAGGTGCCTTCTAGTGCGTTCCTACTCAGAAACCCTATGGCTAACACAGCATAAAACTGTCCAGGTCTGCACCATCTTTACAATTGTTGCTTTGGTTGAGCCCATTGTTGCTGACACTGAATCAATTGATCTTCCTCATTTTTACCTACCCTCCACTTTACCAAACATGATAGATATCCTTCTCCAGAGACTGGTTACTCCTAACAACATGGCCAAAGTATGAGAGACAAAGTCTTTCCATCCTCGCTTCTAACGAGCATCTTGGTATACTTCTTCCAAGATAGATTTGTTTTTCTTTTGGCAGTCCATGGTACCTTCAGTATTCTTTGCCAGCACCATAATGTAAATGCATCAGTTCTTCTATGGTGTTCTTATTCATTGTCCAACTCTGACATGCATTGAAAATACCATGGCTTGGATCAGGCGCATCTTAGTCCTCAAACTGACATTTTTATCTTTAAGACTTTAAAAAGGTCTTTTGCAATAGATATGCCTAATGCAATATGCCCTTTGGTTTCTTGACTTCCATTCCCATGAGTGTTTATTGTATATCCAAGCAAAATGAAGTCTTTGACAACTTCAGTCTTTTCTCCATTTATTATGATGTTGTTTATTGATTCCGTTGTGAGGATTTTTGTTTTTTTACATTAGGGTACAATCCATACTGAAGGCTCTAGTCTTTGATCTTTATCAGTGAGTGTTTTAAGTCCTTTTTATTTCTAGCAAGCAAAACTATGTTATCTGTTTATCACAGGTTGTTGAATGCGTCTTTTCCCGTTCCTAATGCCATATTCTGCTTCATATAATCAAACTTTATGGAAAATTTGCTCAGCATGTAGTTTGAATAGCCTGGTGAAAGAATACAACCCTGACACACACCTTTCCTGATTTTAAACAATTCAGGGTCCCCTTATTCTGTTCTAATGACTGCCTTTTGGTCTATATACAGGTTCTTTATGAGCAGAAGTAAGTGTTCTGGAATACCCATTCTTTGTTCATAGTTATGATCCACACAGTCAAATGCATTTACATAGTCAGTAAAGAACAAGTGAAAATCTTTCTGGTATTAACTGCTTTCAGCCAAGATCTGTCTGGTGTCAGCTGTGATAATCTTAGTTCCACGTCTTCTTCTGAATTTGGCTTGAATTTCTGGCAGCTCCCTGTCATTGTACTGGTGCAATTTAATTATCTTAAGTAAAATATTACTTGCATGTGATATTAATGATATTGTTCTCTGATTTCTGTATTCCATTGCGTCAGCTTTCTTTGAAATAGACACAAATATCAGATTTGTGGGAGAAAAAAAAGTCATGGTAACAGAAGTAGATTACCAGGACTTTTGTCCACAAATCTGCTATGAGAGCATGAACCAACAACTTTTGGGTTACTAATTGGTTGCAAGATGCTTATGCCACACAGGCTTCTATTAAAAGTTTAGAGTCAATTTGAATTTAATGTAATTGGATTCTAAATCCCTAGAATTGGTGGTTTGAGAAGCAAGAAAGTGTACTAGTAGGGTTTGGTGATACTGATTTTTTTTTTAACTATTTGATTTTTCTCCAAGAAGATTGTTTGGATTTAGACATGTATACATCCTTAATAATTTAAATCAATATAGTTTGAATTATTCCATTCTAATTAGAGTCATCTTCCTTGACTTTGTTGTTGTTGTTGTTAAATGTTGTTAAGTGCCGTTGTATTGGTTCCGACTCAGCATTTCCCAGACTGTTCATCTTTGTGGGAGCAAAAAGCGCCCTATTCTCTCACAGAGCCACTGGTAGGCTCAAACTGCCAACCTTGTGGTTTACAGTTGAGTACTTATCATATAGAGCCACTGCACCCCCCTTGACCTTATCCTGTCGTTATTAAAGGAACATCTTACCATCTGATTTACAGAATTATAGTGTTTCACCAACCTGAGATTTTTGTAGGAAAACGTATCACACTTGCTTATCAATTCTTCTCATCCTAAAGTCTGAAATTTAACAATTTTTAATCCTTACAGATTTTAGTTGAAGTTTAGATTTTCCATTTTCATTTTGTTTCTATTATTGTGTAAGCATGTATGGTGGCATTTATTCATTTTGTAGTAACTCTGTCCTTTATTTTTAAAGAGCCAACAAGAAAACCTTGGGAAAGAACAAACACAATGAATGGCAGCAAGTCACCTGTTATCTCCAGGTATCAATTGTTTCCTAAGTTTTGTCTTTTTATGTAATAGAAAATTAATATATTTTTATCATAAACTGTAGACTTTGAAATCGTGAAGAGGAGTAAATAAAACACCCATAATTCTACTATAGTTGGATAACAAAAGAGTCCCATTATATATTTAAAAATTATTTTTTTTTACTCTGGCTAAATATACATTACAAAATATTTGAACCATTTTTGCATACACAACTCAGTGTCATTAATTACAGCCACTGTGTTATGTATGCCACCCTCACCACTATCTATATGCAAACTTTCATCTTCCTTTAAAACATGCCTCTTATTTTCCCCTCTCTGCTCCTGTGATATTTACTGTGACTGTCTGATGAGTTATGCTGTCTTCTTATTAGTCAGTTTGTTGGGAATTTTAACATCATTATTTCTCCCGATTTTTCTTGATTAATTCACAACTACAGAAAAGATAAGGAACAATACAGTATACACCCTTTGCTTTTATTCAGCATCTCGTACCATTTAACTAAAATTTGCTTTCTCTCGCTATATACACTTATATCTTTATGTATTTATGTGCATGCATACAGACACTCACACAAGGATGAGTTAAAAAGTGTCATTATAAAGTTATTTATTAAACAAAACTGTCAAAATATGTCAAAAAGTTGTTTCTTGGCATGTTCATCTAGGTATGTACACTTCTGAAGGTGATGTTTCCATCTCTCTAACCCTTCCCTGGAGAATTCTGTGCTGCTTTGATTTGCCATGTCAAAATGGTAGTTTTGGGCATCCTCAAGGGCTTAAATTATGTTCTTTGAGTTTGGGGAACAAAAAGAAGCATCAAGGAGCAATATCAGGGATATAGGGTGGATGGGATAAGGTTTTCTAATGAAATTCCCTTGAAAACTCCGCAGGTACATTGTCATGATGGAAAACATTCCTCACACAATTTTCCTGGTCTTCTCACCAGTACAGTTTTTGGTTTTCTTAAGACTTCTTCCTAATAAGCCTCCTTGGTCATCCTGTGTCCTTCAAGAAAACCTATTACCATTATTACCCCTTTGTAATCCCAAAAAGCAGTCATTATAACCTTCTGAGCTGATCTCTCTGCTTTGAATTTAATTGGCCCAGCATAAGCCACTATAATTGGACCATTTTTTGAAGGCACCATAACAAGTCTACGAAAAATATATCACTAAGGAACTTGTATCCACTGAACAAAATAACATGTTTAAACACATTTTGTTTGGAATAAACCCATATATGTCTGAATTGGAACCTAAGTACTTGGGAGTTATCCTAATTAACCAAGGCATTCTCCAATGTAAGCACACTGCCATTACCACTCTCAAGAAATTTAACATTGAATAATAATAATTAATAAAATATGAGAGTCATGGTGTAGTACTGTGGGTTAATGCTCTAGACTGCAAAGTTGTTCTGGACCTAAAGATTGGTGGTTCAAGCTCATTAGATGTTCCGTGGAAACCCTATAAAAGGTCCCTATAGGTTGGAACTGACTCGACAGCACTTAAAAACAACAAAAAAATATATATATTCAGTAATATTCTAGTATGGTATACATTAGGTAAAATCTGTTGCAGAAGACCTATTTATAGAGCAAAAATTTCAGTTTGAGGACCAAGGTGTGCCAGACCCAAGCCATGGTATTTTCAGTTGCTTCATAGTCTGTGAAAGTTTGATAACGAATAAGGAAGATTGTAGAAGTGGTGATGCATTTGACTTATGGTGTTGGAGAATATTGAAATTATCATGGGTTGCCAGAAGAACAAACAAATCTATGTTGGAAGAAGTACAGCCACAACACTGCTTTGAAGCAAGGAGAGGGAAACTTCATCTCTTGTACTTTGGACTTACAGTCAGGCAGGATCAGTTCCTGGTAAATGACATTTTGCATGGTGAAATGGAGGGACAGCAAAAAAAGGGGGGAAGACCCCTAGTGAGCTGGACTGACTCAATGACAACAACAGTGGGCTCCAGTATAGCAGTTGTGAGGATGGCTCAGGAATGGGCAGTGTTGCTCTGCTGTGCCATAGGTCACTGTGGGTCTGAACTGATGGTTAATGCACTAGACTGCAATGTCGGCTTGAACCGTAAGGTCAGCGATTCAAGCTCACCAGCAGCTCCTTGGAAACCCTATACAAGGTTGCTGTGGGTCAGAGCCAACTTGATGGCACTTAACAACAACAATAATAATACCACAGGAGAAAGATGAGACTTTCTGCTCTCATGAAGATGTAAAGCCTCAGAAACCCTACAGTGTTAATATGAGTTGGAACCGACTCAGTGGCACTTAACAACAGCAATATATATTCAGATTTCCCCAGTCCATCTCAGTAACATCCTTCATATCTGTTTTTTAAATATAATTTTTGAAAGAATGGTACACTGGAGAAAGTCAGACAAAACTAAATATTTGAATTTCGTCAGATTTATTTCTGTATCTCAGTTGAATCTTCTAAATATAATAAAATTAGAAAAGATACTGCTCAGAAACAAGACCAGTTAACATGAGCTTCTCTGTACATGGGTCTGTGGACATAGCCAGGCAAATTCAGCTTTCCCTAGCTAAGCATGCTATGTGATGTGGTGGCTCCATTTACATCACAGAGCTTGAAAATTAATGAAATGTATTCTTAGTTTATGAAACAGTTTAAAAGAACTCATCTTTCCCCAGAGGAAGGAAATGTATTTAAAGAGTAAAACAGTTTTTGACTTTTCTTAACTGTTAGAAAGCACATAAGAAAAAAAATATAAGGATAACCGTCATATCATCACAGATCTGTTTATTAACCTGCAACTAAACCTGGATTAGGTTTTGTTAGGAAAGAATTGGTGAAGCCACAGAGAAACTAGGCCTTCTTGAATGTATAGACACTGTTTTCTGAGAGAATAAAAGATGAATATTTGATTTTAAGAAGAAAATAGAGGACTTGCTAATGGTAGTCACATTTTTACAGTAGAATTGAAAAATTGTGCATTTGTACTTCTTATGTACCTAATTGAGATGGCCTTCTAATACATTGTGAAGCCTGATTAATGAAGTACCTATCAGGGACTAGAATTGTGCCATTGGTCCTTTGAAAATGGTCATTGTGATGGGGAACACTTTATTTGTCCAGTCTCTACTACTCTTCCTTCATTCCTACCCTATCAATAGGAAGTCCATTGTGAACTTTTTTAAATATAACCCTCAACTGATGGCAAAGGTTTATCTTAGAAAGAACCTGAAAGAAGTTTTCCAAATAAAATATGCTTCTTGATAAGGTCTTTTAGTGCAGGAAAAAGGTATTCTTGGAAAGATTTTTCAGCCTTCTAAATGAAATTCAGTAAAGGTTTTAGAAAGGTTTGCATTTTGAAAATACATTTTATGTAACCTAATCTAACCGTGTTTCTTATTATACAGTGTTGTTAAGTACTATCAAGTCAGTTCCAATTCATAACAACCTAGTATAGGGTTTCCAAGGAGCCATTGGTGAATTTGAACCGCTAACCTTTTGGTAGTAGTCTAGTGCTTATCTTACAGCACCACTTCGCCGGTAGTTCTAACTGTGTTAGATGTTTTTTCTTCTTTTCTCAAAGTAGAAATTTTCCAGATTGCTTTCTGATTACTCATATACCTTTAAATAGATTTGATCCAGCCATTAATATGTGTACCACTGATCTATCAGTCATTGAAAAGAGCCTTACCCCATTAATAAAACAAACATCTCCCATGTTCCTTATGAACGGAGGTATGTTGTTGTTGTTGTTATGTGCCGTGGAGTCGGTTCTGACTCACAGCGTTCAGGGTTTCCGAGGCTGTGAATCTTTATGGGAACAGAAAGCCTTATCTTTCTCCCGTGGAACAGCTGGTAGTTTCAAACTGCTGACCTTGGGGTTCGCAGCCCAATTCGTAACCACTACGCTACTAGAGCTCCTTTATGAACGGTAGAGGTATACGATCCATTTATTTTATGCTTTTATTGTGTGCCTCTTTTTTTGTGCTGAGTAGAAGTGTCTATTTCTATCCTGAATATCCATGTCAAAGTTACCTTTCGTAATCAGATACAAGAGATATACTACATTATACAATATTAATTACATGAAAAGATCAGAATAAAAGCAAGAATATTATCTTTAAACATGGTTTATACTTTGCTTACAATGTAACATGTTTCTTAGTTTACAAAGTCATCCTATAGTTTTTAAGAACTTATATGTGGATCTTGTATCCAGGCTGGAAAAAAGTTCTATTCATGTCTCCTGAGAAGAGTTGATTTTGTAAACTTCAAACTGCAATAATTTTAATTAGTGCTTTTTAATTTTGCTTTGTAACTTCATATTCAGTTTATTAGAAATGTCTTTTACTGTGTTTAGTAGTTGTTGAATCTTTATCATAGGTAGATTTTACTTATCTACTTGCCTACATCCTATAAAAATAGCCAATGCATAATAATTTTTAAATTTAAATTTCATAAACAGTATTCTCACATAACTAGATATTAGTCTCAAAATACCTTTTTTTATTTTAATTTTTGAAAAAAAAAAAGATTGTTTTAAGTTGAATGGATTCCTTTAATTCTTTCGTTTGCTATGACTAAAAACCTATAAAACAGTAACATAAGTATTTTTTAAAATTCTATTGTATACTCCTTTAAATGGTTTTTCCCCTTCATAGACGGGATTCTCCAAGGAAAAATCAGATTGTTTTTGACAACAGGTCCTATGATTCATTACACAGGTATCATCCTGCTGTGACTTTGTGATTTGAGACTTTTAAATAACATGTTGAGGATAGGGCTGAGCTTTTTCTACATGGATTAGTAATCACCACAAGGGAGATATGTAGGAAAACTGTATCTTTCATTTGTAGTTTTATTTAGAAGCCTTTAAAAAACAACATCGTAGTAATTTAACTTTAATTTGAAAAATTTAACAACACCCATTTTCTTGCCATCGCTTTAAGGTTTGATTGTTGTTGTTGTTGTTGTTGTTGTTGTTGTGGTTATGTGCCGTGGAGTCGGTTCCGACTCATAGCGACCCTGTACAGGGTTTCTGAGGCTGTAAATCTTTATGGGAACAGAAAGTGTCGTCTTTCTCCCGCAGAACAGCTGGTAGTTTTGGACTACTGACCTTGAGGTTCACAGCCCAATTTGAAACTACTATGCTACCAGAGCTCCTTTTAAGGTTTAATTAGGATAATATAAATGATAAACACATCACAAATACTAGAATGGCAACCTAACCCACTGTCAATGAGTCTATTTGGACTGATTGATAGTGACCCTGTAGGACTGAGCCGAACTGCTCCATAGGGTTTCCCAGGCTGTAGAGCTTTACAGAGGCAGACTGTGTCATCTGTCTCCTACGGAGCAGCTGTCCAACCTTGCAGTCAGTGACCCAGTGCTTAACCTACTGTGCCACTAGGAACTTAAGGCTAGACCGTAGCTTTAGCATTTTTTAAAACTTTCCTTTATGATTATAATTATGAGACCAGACTTCTAAAACACATGGTGGAAGATCCTGTACTGTTACAGGCTTTCTTGATACTTTATAATACATTGAGTATCTTTAACAGTCTAACATCCAGAATCTGAACCAGCAGATTATTTGTTTTCTAGGATGAACCCTATTATACCAAATTTAAGACAAAATTAAAATCTTAAGATGTGACTCATATAATTCTTTCTTAATGAAAAAGTGGCAATTTTTTAAATACTTAAGCTATTTTTAGAATTTGGTAGGATAGGACTTAGCTATTATAGCACATTTATTTTATTGGAAGGTAACTAGAAGCAACACTTATTATAAAGTAACGGAAAACCTCTGAGAAACCCTCATATTTTGCCATTAGATGTATCTATTTTTTATTACCATGTCTACTGGGAGCATGAACTAAATAAATAGTATGTGAAGGGGGGCGCCCAAGTCAGTCATTAGAGAGTTTTATAAGCAGACTATTAGCTGCATTCTTCTTTGCCAAATTTATTTTCATGCCATTGATGATGAAAACATTTGATAAGTTAATTTTGTTAGCGACTTAAAATGTCCATAAAATGTTTCATTGTAGTAGTGAAAGAGCTTTTCCTGCTTTAGTAGAGAGGGTTTCATTGTTCTGACCATAGGGCTGATTTAGGTAATTTGCTATGATGTAGAGTCAAATCACACTGAGAGTCTGTGTAGTAACTCTGCTTAGTATCTTCCTGCTTTCACACTTTCACACACTGTGCCCCTGGGATAATGTTACTGATAAACCTTAAAAAAAAGTGGTGATTACTTTTTTCCTTCAGTATGAAAAGTTCCCCCCTTTAGCTAATTATCATGGTGGTGGTGGTGATGGATTGCATGTTAGCATGAATTAAAGTTTTTTTAAATTGCATGTTTCCACAATTTTTTAGTATGTAACAGTAACTTTTGTTTGGTAAATAGGATATAGTTATAGTATTATTCAGTGCCATCAAGTTGGTTCTGACTGATAGCGACCCTGCATAGGGTTTCTAAGGAGCTACTGATGAGTTTGAACAGCTGACCTTGTGGTTCAAACCAACCTTGTAGTCCAGTGCTTTAGCTCACAGCGCCACACCTGGACTCCACATTGATAGTGTAATGCCAGATTTAAGTAAGCAGATTCCCATTGCTCACTTGAATTTGTGTAAAAGGTAGTTATTATATAACTTGGAGGAAAGAAATAATACTTGTACTCCTTAAATGTGATATATAAAAACAAGACTAATTAGTAATTCTTTAATTTTGGAAAGAGAATAGATAGCAAAGGTATTTGAAATCCAGCGTGTCGCTCTTCAAAAATATTTCTAGACCCGACTACACAGAGCAGCATGGCTTATACAGTGTGGATCTCACTAGATCTTTTTTGACTATAGCGTTGAGTAGTCTCAGCAAAGGAAAGCTGTGTCTTCATCAGAGAATAGGCAGTGTGTCAGATAGATGCTTTTAGTTCCACAGTGCCTAGCGCAATGCTTACTCAATGGTTTCTGAAAGTTATTATTTACCTTATTCATAGCGTACAAGAAGATAATTAATAAAGAAAAATTGATTGGCCTGCTTCATAACAACGTTTTTAAGCATTAATACTCATGTTTTTATAATAAAGTAAATTAACTCAGTATTTCATCTCCTCAAATAACTCCTATGGTTTTGAAGTATGTTTTATAAGAAATATGAAATTATAATTGCAACAAGAAGTTATTGCACCTTTGAGTCCTGGTTCACATTTCTAGTATTGTTTGCAAAATTGAAAATATATGCTTTGACTAATGGTTTCAACTTGCATTGATTTCTGGACCTTAAAGAGTGGCCTCTAAGCTATACTGTATGCTTACCTAGAAAATAGGAAATTACATGATTAAAACCTAGCTGTTTTTTTCCATTGAGGATTTTATTGTCAGTACTGGTAAGGGAATCATAACTAATTTATTTAGTATTGAAACTTTTGTTTAAAATTTATGTCTATAATCTGTGAGATTTATTACCTTAGGTAAAATTTTTAATAGCATTAAACTTAACTGTCAAGAGTCCAGTCCTAATTGACAGCCTGCTGCTGCCCAGCATTTCCTTTTTTAACATAGTAAGTTTATGAAAGTAGTAGCCGATGAGAGTAATTTTGTCATCCCCATAACATCTCCATAAACTTCATAGGGATTAGATTTTCAGTGGAATCTGAATATACTTCTAACCTAACAATCATTTTTCCAAAGTTCTTGTTTATTTTTGTGCTTGAAATGGAACACAGAAACTGTTTCCGAAAATGTTTCATTTTCCCTTTTTCCCAAACTGAGACATAAGATTTGTAAACTTATTAATTATAGAGCAAAATATTCAAGTCTTTATGTCTTCCCTTCTATTGGTTGGTCAGATGCTTAGTAGCTATGTAAAATTTCAAAAGAATGAAAAAAAACAAGAAAGGTGTGTTATATAGTTGTTCCAACTGGTCTTTTCATCTTCATCTTGGCCCACATGTCAGACACTGGTCACCTGCCTGTCTGACACCCAGGGAGCATGTTGTCTCCTTCCCTGAAGAAATCTCATCATCTTGTCACTTTTTTCTATTTTCTTTATAAATGTAACCGGAAATAGTGAGAAAAAATATTTTCTACTTTATATTCTAATTGGTCCTACAATTTTGACAATGAACTTTTTAACAGAATGTGTTTTCTTTAACAAATGTGTTTGAATATGGTCATTAAGTACCCAAAGTGTCATTTACCTGTTCTGGAAATTTCATTGTACAGACCAAAGTCTGCACCCTCATCACAGCCCAGTGCCAATGGAGTCCAGACAGAGGGACTAGACTACGACAGACTGAAGCAGGTATGTGTTCAGTGGCAGCTTTTAAAGACATCTCTTCTGTATATATTTGACTTGGCTGTACTCAAAAAGAACATAAAGTTTAAATATTTTTATACAAATTAAGCAAGGACATTAGTTCTGTGTTATTTTTGCCATGAATTCATATTTCCAACATTGATGGAGCATGGGAGAATTATTGTTTCAGGCTGTAGTATGAAAATTTAACTCCAGTGTCTGGTAAAAAACAAAAACAGTGGGCTTCCCGCTCTTCATTTAATCCAACTGGCAAACATAAACCAAAAATGGTTTTGGTAAGAATGTTACGGAATAGCCCCCCCTCCCCCCCCCCCCCAAAAAAAAAAAAAAAAAAAACTGAGACTCGGTGGAAATGCACGCTCGAATTGGTAAACACACGCA